GTGGAAAACCAAATTACCTTGTGTTGTCTTCTGACTGACAAACATGCCACAGAGCACCCCCACCCTCATGAATACACAGGCAATCAATAAGTAAATAAATATAATCAGTGTCCTACAGGAGCCCCATGATGGCCAAAGTTAACTGTCATCTGGACAGAAGCTAGAATCACCTGGGAGGTGGCCACTTGGGCATGCCATGCGGCATTATCCTGCTGGTGTTTGAGGCAGGAAAGCCTGTTCACTGTGGTTGACACCTTTCCCTGACTGGAATACTGGATGGTGAAAGTGGAGAAAGGGGGCTGAGTGGTGGTGTGATTTACCCCTCCAGGCTTCCTTATTGAGGGTGGGAGGTGACCAACTTCTTGAAGCTTTTGCTCCCTTAACTGCCCTGCCATGACAGATTCTTTCTTGAGCTGTGAGATTAAAAAACAAAAAACAAAAACCCAGTACCTTTTCCCTTAAATTACTTTTGTCAGAGTGCCTTTTCTCTTTGTTTTGTTTTTTTTTTTTTTTTTTTTTTAATCACAGAAACAGAAAGAGAAACCAAGACACTGATTGGAAGCCCAAACAAAGTTCAATATTACTATCACATTTTACAACCCTCTGTGTGTGTGTACAGCTGAAGGTTTTATGAGTCAAGAGACATTTAACAATCTAGAGGTGAGTTCACAGATGTCTCCAGTGCTAAATGAGGAAAGTCTTCCATTTATAGTTTAATGTTTACTTAGCCATAGTGCCGATGTTCACACTCCAGTGGCTATTCTCAAGAAATAGGGACATTTATAGCTTCTAGTTGGGGAATGATCAGGGAAAGGAGATACTGCCATAAACCATCAAATATGAGCAAAATTAGGTCAACCAATCAGGAGCACTATTAGGTGATGACTAAATGTACAATGTTGTCATTATAGCCCATGGATTTGTCATAATCTTTTCATATCAATATCTACAACAATTAGTGGCTTCAGTGACTAATTGGCACCTTGAATGATTGGCATTCCTTGTACAGCATTCCTTCAGATTAATAATATGCATTTCTGACTTCTCCCTGAAGTTGAAATAAGAGCAGGTGCAGGCTAAACTGTGCATCATCCACTGGTAGTGAGAGGCCTAGCCCATGGCAAAGCATCTATTGAGCCATTTTCTCCCTTTCACATGCCTGATGTGTCATCAATTCTAGGTGCAATTACTTTTATTACTACAGTTATTAGTATAAACCCCTTGCCACGACCAGTATCAAACTCCTTACTCAAACGATTAGTTTCTATCACAGCTGTATTTCTTTTCATGTTACCAGTTCTAGCTCCAGGTGCTATAATACTTTTTAATGGAACATCATTTGGAGCAGGGCCCAGGCCCTCCCGTGTCTAGGCTGAGACAGTATCCCTCTATGGGGAATGGGCTTTGTGGGTGTCTTAGTTAGGCTTTCTGTTACTGTGAGGAGACACCATGACCATGTATTTCTTGTAAAGGGAAACATTTCATTGTGGTGGCTCACAGTTAGAGATTCAGTCCATTATCATCATGGTGGGACATGGTGGTATGCAGGCAGACATATATAGTCCACCTTCCTCTAATAAGACCATACCTACTCACTCCATCAAAGCCGCAACTCCTAATAATGCCACTCCCTATGTCTTAGGGTTTTTCTGCAACTCTTACAAATGAAATCATTTAATTGGGGTGGCTTGCTTACAGTTTCATAAGTATAGCCCATTGTCATCCCGGCAGAGACCATGGCCGTGTGCAGGTAGAGATGGTGCTAGAGAAGTAGCTGAGAGTCCTACAGCTTGCAGGCAACAGGAAGTTAACTGAGACACTCAAAGCCTGTGCCCACAGTAACACACTTCCTCCAACAAGGTCACACCCACTCCAACAAAGCCACACCTCCTAATAGTGCCACTCCCTATGAGATTACGAGGGCCCATACATTCAAACTACCACAGTGGCCTGTAAGAGTTTAAGCTTATCACGATGAGTCAGTTGCCAGTGATGCTGGCTACCCAGCAGCAGTGAGGTGCAGAGGAGTAGAAAGCTGAAGAGCTCAGTTTATAGCCATCATGACTAATTTTCCCGGTCACCATTCCAGTCAGTGTCTCAGGTACAATGCAATGGCATGTGCTTTTAAAGTTTTCAGTAACTGCACGATGCTAATCAGTTCGTGGAGGGTTTTAATTAAACACTGGGGGGGGGGTGTTCTAACTAAGCTAATGTACACAAGAAAAAGGAACGAGAGGGCGTTCTTAAGGGATAAGACCCGGGTATGGTGGCGCACACAACCCAGACTGTCCAAAGAAAACGAGGAGGAGGAGGAAGAGGAGGCTGCGGCACTGATATTGCATGTAGTGGTCCAAGCCTTTAACACCAGCACTAGGAGGCAGAGACAGAGACATCTCTGTGAGTCTGGTCTTCATAGAGAGAGATCCAGGTGGCCAGCAGGGAATATATAATGAGAACTTGTCTCAAAAAGAACAAAAAAAAGAAAAAAGAAAGAAGAAAAATAAAAGAAAAATGGAAAGAAAGGAAGGAAGGAAGAAAGGAAGGAAGGAAGAAAGAAAGGAAGGAAGGAAGGAAGGAAGGAAGGAAGAAAGAAAGAAAGAAAGAAAGAAAGAAAGAAAGGAAGGAAGAAAGGAAGGAAGGGGGAGAGGAGAAGGAGGAAGACAAGAGGCCACAGACAGGCAAGAACAAACAGCAGTAGTGAGGAGAAACGAAGAGGTAATGAAAACGAATGTTTATGGGTAGGTGTAATAGTCACCAGTGATGGCTTTAGACACCACTTACTGTTTTCTCATCCTGGCTCCTGGAGCTTTGTGCCAATTAGTGAAACCCACAGGAAGATTTGCTGTGGTAAATCTTCCATAAAGGCAACGCTATTATGATGGCTGTTCTTGGTTGTCAACTTGGCTACATCTGAAATTAACTAAAACCCGAGTGGCTGGGCACACCAGTGAAGGATTTTTCTTAATTAAGTCATCGGAAGTGGGAAGACCCACTTGTAATGGAGACCGTTGAGGTGGGAAGATCCACCTTTAGTCTGGGCCACGCCTTCTGCTGGTAGCCTGTATTCGGGACAGGGAAGAAGGAAGTGTGCTCATGGCCTGCTTGCTCTCCCTCTTGCCTCTTGCTAGAAGCCCATCCTTTCACTGACATTAACCCCTGCTTACAGAAGGTATTCTGGCATAGACCAGCTGAGACATTCCACCTCGAGATTTGAACAACTATTGAATTCTAGGACCTTCTGTTGGTAGACAGCCATTATTAGACTAGCTGGACCGCAGCCTGTAAGTCATTCTAATAAACCGTGTGCGTGTGTGTGTGTGTGTGTGTGTGTGTGTGTGATTCATTCTATCGGTTCTGTTCTTCTAGAGAAGCCTGACTAATACAGCTGCCATCTGAACTGGTGCAGACATGGCACTGCATTATGTCTTCTCCCTCAGGCTTGTTACTCTACTGTGTCTCTAAATTCATAGGTCAGAAACAGGTATTTTGAAGATCAGACTCCTTGGGAAATCTTGAGACATAATCCGAACCCCTGGGCATCTTGGCTTCATTTTTATTATTAAGCTCTCAGTGATGATGGGTTCTTGATTTCTTTCTTTTCCTGATGATATTTCAGGAATGGAGTCACACACACACACACACACACACACACACACACAATTTTTAATTTAAATTTGAAATAAGCTTGCTTTGCTTGTCAACCTCAGTTTTCACACCCTTCTTTCCTCCGTTCCCCCTACCAACCCCCATCCCATTCCCTTTCTGCTCCCCTGGGAGGGTGAGGCCTTCCATGGGGAGTCTTCAAAGTCTGTCACATCATTTGGAGCAGGGCCCAGGCCCTCCCCAATGTCTCCAGGCTGAGAGAGTGTCCCTCTATGTGGGATGGGCTCCCAAAGTCCATTAGTATACAAATACTGATTCACTCCAGAGGCCCCACAGACTGCCCAGTCCTCCTAACTGACACCACATTCAGGGAATCTGGGTCACTCCCATGCAGAAGGCAGACACTCACAGCTAAACACCGAGCGGAACTCCTGGAATCCAGTTGCAGACAGGGAGAAATGATAAGCAAAGGAGTCAGGAGCAGGCTGGAGAAACCCACAGGAACTGCTGACCTGAACGAGGGGGAGCTCATGCACCTGATAGCTGGGAAAACTTATTTCTTTTTTTTTTAAGAAAACATATTAGGTTGTCCAGAAAGTGCCATACTCAGCGGCATTTCACTGTCCTTGTTTCATTGCCGAGACTGAGCCTCTCTTTTTGAAGGTGCTCTCTTCTGTGGTTGAGACCACTGTTTCTGTAGATACAAAGCAGAGACTGCGATGGACACTCTGCTGCTCTGCAGTCAACAGATAGACACTACAGTTCTGAGCCTGCACGAACCAATAGCGAAATAGATAGCCAGCTGAGAAGGGACCAGGAAGCTGGGGAGGGATTGGGGAAGTGCGTGGGGGATAGGGGTGGAGATGGGAGGTGGGGACAGCGTGGTCTAAATCGTGTCTGAGCTACAGAAATGCAGTCAGTAATAATCTAATCCACGGACCCAGCCCCGAGAAGCTTGGCTTTGAAGCAATTAGCGCTTTCACTGGGGAGCAATCATTTACACCGTGTGTGAACTAGGACAGCGGCTCTCTTTCCAGAGATGAGAAGGAGTTCCTGAGCTCTTAGGAGGACTACCGTGGGGAGAGAAGGCACTTCTGATCTGTAGCTCATCTGAAAGGACATGCTCCAATCCGCAGACCTCAGGGCAGGAGCCAAGGCCTGAGGACTCCAGCCTCCTTCAGCCTTGCATAGACACCGCTTCCGGGTTGGGTTGCATCCTCTGGGAGCCACCAAATTGGGACTAAGGAGGAAAGGAAGGGGTGGGGAAGGAAAGGGCGGAGCCGCCTCTGTCACACCCATTAGTCACATCCAAGGGTCAGGGGCCTCTGGGGTCCTCTGCGCACGCGCAAACCTGACTTCGTCTCCCGCCCCCCCACCGCAACTTCCCCCTCCCTGCGGTAGTGTTTGGTGTTACCATGGAGTCTGGAGAGGCCCGCGGATGCTGTTTGTTGCCAGGGTAACTCGAGCGGCAGAAGGCAACCGTGGCGGCGGCTGCACAGCTGTGATGGTGACCAACCCGGTGCACGGCCTGCCCTTTCTCCCGGGCTCGTCCTTTACGGACTCCACGGTGAGGGCCAGTCGGAAGGGTTCTCCACTCGGGGCGCCTCTGCTCTCCTCCATCCCGCAGGCTCCACCGCCCTCCCGCACACCAGCCTTTGCTCGGCCTCTTGGTAGTCCACACACCTTCTGTGTCCTCACTGCGGCCCTGTTCTTACTTTTCTGCCCATATACCTGCCTTCTGGCCTCACTGTCCCAGGCCATCTCCACGCCTCTCCCCAGATGCACCTTTACCCTACTCAGCGCCTCTCTGCCTTCATCCTCCCTACCTCCTCTTCTGAATCCTTTCAGCCCTTTCCATGCACCCCTTTCCTGACAGGGCTCCCGGCAGCTCTTCCCCCACCCACCGCAGGTCTCTGGGCTTCTGAGTTAGGGGTCACTCTTTCTCCAGCGTCATCCTATTTTAGAATTGAATCCCTCCCCAGCTCATGTTGGTTTTCTTGTATTTTCTCTTTAAAGCATGCCGACCTTCCTCCTCTCTGCTTTTGTATTTCTCCCATCTCACGTACCTCAACCACATGGACCATCGCTGTTTCCTTTTTCAGTAGCCTGTTTTACGTCTTAACTGTGTGTGTGTGTGTGTGTGTGTGTGTGTGTGTGTGTGTGTGTGTGTGTGTGATTCCTTTTCAGGCTGTGTGTGCATTGCTGGGGAGGTTTCTTTGTTGTGTCTTGTATGCAGCCCAGACTGGCCTTGAACTGGCCTCAGCCTCCAGAAACGCTCCAGTTAAAGTCATGCCAACACAAAGGACCCCTATTCAGATTGTGTTTTACCCCACTCCCACACACGCTGTTTTTATTCACTGTCTGGATGAAATGAAATTAAAGCAAGTCCAATGAGGTGCCATACATTCTTGATCGAAGCTTTCAGGAAGCTGAGGCATAAGGATGGCCAATTTGAGTCTAGCCTGGGCTACATAGCCAGTGCCTGTCTCCAAAGAGCAACAAATCCAAACCAGACAGAACAAGAACAGCATGAAAGGAAAGCATAACGGAGGCTGGGAAGGTGGCCCAGGGGACGAAGTGCTTGCTGCTGTGTGAGAGTACTAGGACCCATGCAAGCTGGTTAGCTAGACTGGTCCTTATCTGATGCAGCCTCCCTATATCAGCTTCCATCTTCCACATGCATGCCCATATACATGCACACAGGCATGTGCGCACCACACACACACACACACACACACACACACACACACACACACACACACAGAAAAACCATAGCACCAACAATAAAATAAAAATGCCTCAGATGAAAGGCCGGCTACAACAGTAGTCTGGGTTTCTGGGTTCTTGGTTTCCTCTTGACATAGTTTAGCTATTTATTTACTGGTTTATTTTGAGACAGGGTCTTGTGTAGCCCAGGTTGGCTTCATATATAGCCTGGGGTGATCTGGAATGTATCCTTTGGGCTCCTGAGTGCTGGGATTACAGTCCGGTCCAAAGCCAGAGCTTTGCGAGTGACAGACAAACATGATACCAACTGAGCTGTACCCCCCCCCCAGCCCCAGCTCTTAAATGCTCTCAGCATTTGTGTTAATTCTAACAGAGTTACAAAAATATTCTGGAGAATCAACATAGAGTGATACACGTAGGAGAGCCAGTAGTGATTTATATCTGTATAATTTAATAATTCAGACTCATAAATTTCACACTTCTTGGGGACATCAGTTTCATTTCAGTTAATGCAAAGCGTGGAGAGGGTTTGGATTCTGGCTCCCTTCTACTCTTGCATCAAGATATAACACGGTCACTTTTTCAAAGATGCAAGCTCCCTATGTATGTTTCTCTGTTGTTTGTTGGTTTGTTTGAGACCAGTCCCTCTCCTCTTTAGCCAAGCTGGCCTGAAATTCACTCTGTAACCTAAGATGCCCTTAACACACGATGATTTCCAGCTACAGCTTCTCAAGTGCTGGAATTAAAAGTGGGAGCCACTGTGCCTGGTCAGCACCACATATTTGCCATTTCAATGAGCCTTTTAAGTTCATATAATTGTAGGTGTTTCCCTGTGCTGTACAGAATCAGGTTAAACATTCAGCGTGCATGAGTGTGGGTTACCCACAAGGTAAGGCTGAGTTGATTGGGGGGATTATAGAGGTGTGGCTAGAAGTGCCAGATTTTAAATATTTATATGAAAAGATGAACTGTCTTGACGTACTTCATATGAGGTATACTGAGTGACTGTCAATAAATTATCCTTACTTGACATTTGAAAACCTTGGTAACTGCATCTTCATCAGTGAAGGAATGTTGTAACTCCAAAGGAAACGTGTCCAGAAGGTGAACCTTAATGAATAAGAATGGTGGAAAACCTTAAAATACCTTGCCTGGGGTGAAAATGAACTGAAGTTATTAATGTTTTATTTCATAATTTTTGGGAGAGGGGTTGCCATCGAGCATGTGTAGAGGTCATAAGACAATGTCTGGGAGTTTTCTCCTGCTACCATGTGGGTCCCAAGGATCAAATTTAGGTGGTCAGTCTTGGTGGTAAGTAACCCTTAGCTACCAAGCCACCTCCCAGCCCTCCTCCTCATTTCTGGTGCTGGGAATTGAACCTAGGTCTTTGAACATGGTAAGCACGCCATCACCAAGTTATACTCTCAGACTCAAGACTCATACCTGTCTTGGGTGGTTGCAAAGAGGAACTTGAAGCTATGCACATTTCCCAGTGCAGTACATCTTATCCTATGTCTGTGCATTAGGCATGGGCAGCTCCTGTCAACCAACTTGGGACCTAGAACACATGAGCATTAACGAAAGGTCTGTGCTCTGTAACTCTTTTAGCAGAAGTCCATACTGCTGTTCCTTTGATGGTAAGATAGACCTTGAAAGATGGTAGGCTGGACTCCAAAGAAATTGGGAGATAGGCAAGGAAATCTTTTCACTCTTAATAAAAATAAAATTTGATTGTGTATAAAGCATATATGCATAATACATAACTATATTACATATATACAATTAGAAAATAACCCAGCAAAGAACATAAAACCCACTGAATTACTATAACTTCAATTTCATTCTTCCCCTTTATTTAATCTTTTACATTTCCAATGATAACAAATGTATATTCATTGCAGAAAATGATCATAATCCAGAATATAGAATGTTCACCAAATCCAGTTTATATACTTATAATTGTGGTTTATTTACATAGTTTTATATGATGCCCTTTTTTCTTTTAATAAATTGTAAATACTTCACCGGGCTGCTGAATTGTATTTAAAACTATTTTAATCCCTGCATAGTAATTCAATGAGTGGGATTTCCATCATTTCCTTTCTTCTTTATGTTTGTCCTTTAGATTCTTTCCAACATTTAAGCATCATACACACACACACACACATATGTTTGTCACTATTATGATTAGCTTCAAGCCTACCATTCTTTCCCATAATTTGGGGATGTATCTTTAAGAAAAGGGCTGGATTACTGAATGATTACATATATGCTGGCAAGCTGCTTTCCAAAGACTTGTATGAATGTGTCAGAGTGAATATAGCAAGAAGGACTGTTGCTGGAGGTAAATTAAAATTCGGAAAACCAGATCTTGAGGCTATTGTTCATGACCACCAAGAGAAGAAGAAATACAAGATCAGTAAAGCTAGAGTATAGATGATGTGATGTGGTAGAGGTAAGGTAAACCCGTTGATCACAGAGCAGGGCTGTTTCACTTTTAACCTTAGGTGGCTTCTACTTCCCTTGCTCCTGACCAAATGTTCCCCCTTAAAATAGTCTTTCAGACGGGGAGGAGAGGAGGGAGGGGAAACCGCGACCCGGATGTAAAGTGAATTAATTAATTCATTTTTTAAGAGTATCCTTTCAATGCAGTGAAACGTTTTGGTGTCCATTTTGAGACCCTGAAAAGCAAACATTTGGAGCTGGAGAGATGGCACAGCGTTTAAGAGCAAGAATTGCAGAGGACCCGGGGTTCAATTCTCAGCACCTACATCAGGGAGCTCATCTCCATCTTGGTCCAAGGAGTCTGAGGGCATCTGCCCTCACAAGCACACGTCTACACTCATACACATAATTTTAAAATATGTATTTTAAAGCGAAAGTTTAAACTGTGATAGTTTAGGGAGTTAGTTGTTTTACTTGAAGATGTCTATGAGGTTATTGATGGCATACATCTTTCTTTCAGAAAACAGCATTCCACAGAAGCCAGACGCTCGGCTACAGGAACGGCTATGCTGTTGTCCGACGTCCGACCGTGGGGATAGGAGGAGACCGGCTCCACTACAACCAGCTGTCTCAGGCTGAGCTGGATGAGTTGGCCAATAAGGCACCCGTCTTAACTTACGGTCCACCCAGGCAGCCCCCTCCTGCAGAGTTTGTTCCTGCTCATGTGGCTTTTGACAAAAAGGTATCATCTGGGATTTTAGGGTACCCCTTGACTTCAGATGTCTAAGACTTGAGCACTTGCAGAAATGTTATCAGTAAACCACGGAATTCCTTGAGTGCTCTGAGAGAAAATTGTTCAGATGCCTCAACCCTTAGTCACAGACAGCGGAACTGGGCCTTGAAAGGGGCTTTCTGTAGGCAGGAAGCAGATTAGAGAAAATAGTTCCCTGTAGACTTCCCCAGAGTATTTTCCAAATACAGTTAAAAGTTGCCTGACTTCCAAATCCCACATTCATGTTGCACCGTTCATCCGCTGTTTCCCACCTATTATTCAACAACGAATCCTAAATCTCCATCAAGTGCAAAATAGCTTGAAAACATCTCCATCTGTTTGTCTGTTTTTAACAAGATTTCATTCACTCAATCACCCACCCTTTCATGATTGGTGCTATTTCAGTTCCACACACTCTTAATGACTGTTTTTCTCTAGCAAAGTTCATATTATCCCCAAACAACAACAAAACCCCTCCTGCCTGTGACTGCTTTAGGAAGAGAATTTCATCTTATCCTTGAGCACCAAACTGCTTTCTCAGAGATAACAGTGATGCCCTGTTTGCTGAGTTTGGACAGGCACCCATGGTCCTTTTTCTAGGCCCTGTTTCAACTCTCTCTAATACCCCTCCCTCCCCTCTCTCCCCCTCCCTCCCCTCTCTCCCCCTCCCTCCCCTCTCTCCCCTCTTCCTCCCTCCCAGGTTCTGCTCTTTGCTTGTACACAAGACTCCTCACTCTCCTGGTTCCTCACTCCTGTCTACCAGGTTGCTCATTCTCTGGTCTCCCAGCCTCCTCCTTGTAAGCATTTGCACGTTTCTGTGCTCGTTCTTGAGCTTCCCTTCTTAGGAGATCACACCTACTTCCTTGGCTTCAACTGTCTCCTCGGTGCAGACAACTGTCAGTTTTTATTTTCGTCTCTGACCTCAGACCTTAGCCTCAGGCCTTCCCTGAATGGAAACCCCTCACCTGGGTGAGCTGTTTATTTACACTTAGCCTGTATTTTATTCCCATTATTAGTCAGCCCCCAGGACCACTGGGAGCTGCTCTTTTAGCTTGGATCCTGAGCATCCCTGCATGACGTTTCTTCCCCACATTCAGTGAGATGCCAAGCCAAGTATTTCTCTTTCGTTTCCTCTGTCATCCTCAAAGTTCAAACAAGCAATATGATCTCTACAAACTCAGGAGGTTTGAACACACCACCAGGAGCCAAGGCCACTGTAAGATTCAGTGAAAAGATACATTTTTAAACAGAGTATCTAAATATTATTTTCCCCTCCTTCTACATGTTATCAAGTTCTTGTCCTACCTAGTACAGCTGTTAACCTAACTACAAGAAGCTCTTAAGAGCTATTTGTGTTGACATTATTCTCAGTTGCTACCTTATAGGGGCCTACAACTCATATATATATATATTTTAATATTTTAAAACAATCTTTTCTCATATTAATATTTTTTTATAATTCTTTTAAATTTTATTTTACATTCCAACCACAGTCTCCCTCCAACCCCTCCTGTGGTTGCCCCTCGCCTCCCTGCCCCTAACTCATCCCAGTCCATTCATCCTCATGGGTAAGGGCTCCTATGAGGAGCCCAAAAAAAAGTCTGGCACAATAGGTTAGGGCAGGGCCCGGCCCCTCTCCCACGCATTGAGCATGGCATCCCACCATAGGAAATGGGTTCCAACAAGCTAGCTCATGTACCAGGTTTGTATCATGGTCCTACTACCAGGGGCCTCTCCGATAGTCCAAGCTTCTCAACTGTCTCCCACATACAGAGAGCCTAGTTTGGTCCCCTGGCCTCTCCACAGCTGTCAGTCTAGAGTTCATGAGCGTCCATGAGCTTGACGCTTCTGGAGATTTCTCCATCATGATCTTGATCTCCCTTGCTCATATATTCCCTCCTCCCTCTCTTCATCTTTTCTCGTTTTATGTACCAATCTCAGTCCCCACTCCCTCCCCTCCTCCTGCTGCCCCCCCACCTCCCTCCATTCCTCAGAGAGGGTAAGGCTTCCATGGGAGTCAACAAGATCTGGCACATCTCTTTGAGGCAGGACCAAGGCCCTCCCCCCTATATCTAGGCTGAGCAAGGTATCCCACCATAGGGAATGGGCTCCAAAAAACCAGTTCAAGCACTAGGGATAAATCCTGGTCCCACTGTCAGTGGCCTTACAGACTTCCCAAGCCACTCAACTGTCACCCACATTCAGAGGGCCTAGTTTGGCCCCATGCAAGTTTTCCTGCTGTCAGTCCAGATTTAGTGAGCTCCCACTAGCTCGGGTCAGCTGCTTCTGTGGGTATCCCCCAAATGGTCTCAACCCCTTTGCTCATATTATCCATCCTCCCTGTCTTTGACTGGACTCTGGGAGCTCAGCCCAGTGCTTAGTTGTGGATATCTGCATCTGCTTCTACCAATTGCTGGATGAAGGCTCTTTGAGAATAATTAAGGTAGTCATTAATGTGATTACAGGGAAGGCCAGTTCAGGCACCCTCTTCACTAAAGCATAGGATGATGATTGGGGTCATTCTTGTGGATTCCTAGGAATTTCCCTAGTGCCGGGTTCCTCCATAGCCCCATAATGGCTCCCTCAATGAAGATATCTCTTTCCTTGCTATCCCTCTCTGTCCTTCCCCCATTTCAAGCATTCATTTCCCTCATGTTCTCCTCCCTCATCCCTTCTGCACTCCCTTCTCCCCCACCCCAACACTCCCAATTTTCTCAAGAGATCTTGTCTATTTTCCCTTTCCAGAAGCGTCCATATATGTCTTTCTTAGGATTCTCCTTGCTACCTAGCTTCTCTGGGGTTGTGGACTATAGGCTGGTTATCCTTTGCTTTCCATCTAATATCCAATTATGAGCAAGAACATACCGTGTTTGTTTCTGTGACTTAGTTGCCTCACTCAGGATGGTTTCTTTAGTTTCATCCATTTGCCTATAAATTTCAAGATATCATTTTTTTCCCCACTGAGTAGTACTCAATTGTGTAAATGTACCACATTTTCTTTATCCATTCCTTAGTTGAGGAGCATCTAGGTTGTTTCCAGGTTGTGGCTATTATGAATAATGCTTCTATGAACATAGTTGAGCAAATGTCCTTGTGATATGATTGAACATCCTTAGGGCATATGCCCAAGAATGGTATTGGTGGGTCTTGAGGTAGATTGATTCCAAATTTTCTGAGAAACCTCCATACTGATTTCCAAAGTGGCTGTACAAGTTTGCACTCCCACCAGCAATAGAGGAGTGTTCCCCTTTTTCTACATCTTCTCCAGCATACGCTGCCATTGGTGTTGTTTGATCTTATCCATTCTGACTGGTATAAAATGGTATTTCAGAGTTGTTACATTTCCCTGATGGCTAAGGGTATGAGCAATCCCTTAAGTGTCTTTCAGCCATTTGAGATTCTTCTGTTGAGAATTCTCTGTTTAGATCTTTACCCCATTTTTTAATTGGATTATTTGATATTAATCCACACACCTAGGAACGCTTGATTTTTGACAAAGAAGCTAAAATTACACAATGGAAAAAAAAAAAAAAAGAAAGCATTTCCAACAAATGGCGATGGCATAACTGGATGTTTGCAGATAGAAGAATGTAAATAGATCCATATCTATTACCACGCATAAAACTCAAGTCCAAATGGATCAAAGACCTCCATATACATTCAGCCACACTGAACCTGATAGCCTTGAATGCATGGGCACAGGAGACTCCTTCCTAAGTATAACACCAGTACCACAGACACCGAGAGCAACGGTTAATAGATGGGATATCCTGAGACTGGAAACTTCTGAAAGGCACAGGACACAGTCGATAAGACAAAACGGCAGCCCACAGAATGGAAAAAGATATTCATTCACCAACCCCACGTCTGACAAAGGACTGATCTCCAAAATATATAAAGAACTAAAGTAACTAGACACCAAAATACAGAACTTTTTATTCTTAATAAGAGAAGAGGTAAATGACTATTAAAATTACATCAGTAGGTTCAGTGGTTAGGAACATTGGAGAATACAGGTTCAATCCAGCACTCACATGATGGCTCACAACCAAACTGCCTGTTGTGTATAGTTTTTAAATTTGTGGTTCACCCTGTTTCCTATGTTACTATAGTGCTGTTCTCCTTTTGAATTTTTTTTGCATTTGATTCAAAATATTACTCTAAAATTGTTCTTTTCCTTTAAATGTATCATTGAAATGTGTGCCTTTCCATTGTTCCCTCAGGAATTTCAAGGAATTCCTTCCTTTACATTCATAGTTTTCCTAAGAGGTAGCTAGTAATTTTTGGCTTTTACCTTCATTTTTCTGCTGTTTAAAGGTCTGTACTTTTATGTTCTCAATGAGAAAGACACTGTGTCTTAATTTCAGGATCTGAATTTCCCCCCATTCTCCCCTTATTTAAGGGAGGTTTCAGAAGTCTCTTGACTACCTAGAATATAATTCTAGTGCCTTGTCTCTATGAAAAGAAACACCAAATAAAATAAAGTACCAGAAATGGAAAGTGACGCCACAGCATATCAATATATGCTTTTTTTTTCCAGAGGGTTTAATATTTTTTTGACTGTGCACCCAGTAAGCTATTCTGACTTCACATTGAATGGACACTCCTCAGAGGGCTAATCTTTGGTCTAGATAGAATTCAAATGCTTCCAAAGATGCCAGAACACTTGTTTAGATGCTGCCCAATGAGCCTATGGCTGCTGGTGGTTCATATTGTAACTGTGCTTCTCAGATCATAATGAAAACCCTTCTTGTGTGTTACAGGTGCTGAAATTTAGCGCCTACTTCCAAGAAGATGTTCCTATATCAATGGAGGAGCACTATCGAATCCGCCAAGTGAACATTTACTACTATCTAGAGGATGACAGCATGTCAATCATAGAGCCGGTGGTGGAGAACTCGGGGATCCCACAAGGCAAGCTGGTCAAACGCCAACGGCTAGCCAAGAATGACGTGGGAGACCATTACCACTGGAAAGACCTCAATCGGGCAATCAACATCACAATTTACGGCAAAACTTTCCGAATTGTTGACTGTGACAGATTCACACAGGTATAGTGTATTCCTTGTGGGCTGGGACTCCACAGCAGTATTCTAGCTGGTGGGATACATTTCTTCACTTCATTTGCTACAAAGTTGATGGGGAAGACACTGGTGACTGTGGGGTGAGGAGGAGGTTACTAAGCAGGTTAGTATTTGCATGAGTGTGCACTCTTTACTACTATGGAGTATAAACATTATAAAAAAAAAAAAAAACAATGCCAACTTGTCTTGGATTTTTTTTTCCTAAAATGTAATTATATACTTGTTTTAGAAAGTTTGGGAACATTATTCCATCCTCACCGGGCCCTGGTGTACTTGCCTCCATAGGAAAAGTGAAACACAAGTGTTTTGTGAAATTATGCTTGGGAACCAGATGCTTGTCTTAAAAGAATGCCAGAATTTGACACTAGGCACCTAACCCGATTGATAGAAATTTATATTTCATACCTTACCATGATGCCTTCCAACTAGCTTAACACACACACACACACACACACACACACACACACACACACACACACACATTAAAGAATACTTCAGGCAAGTTATCAGCTATTGCTGCACTGTAGAATTGGGTCCTGGGAGATTGTATCTCTAAGAAATGCCAACTCTATCAATCAGTCGTTCATTCCTTCACACTAATTTTTCAGACCATTAGTTGATGACATTTAAAACCTTCCAAAGGATGTTGATATTAACTGTGAAATTTTAGGAATTTTTGGAAAGTCAAGGAATTGAATTAAATCCCCCAGAGAAGATGGCTCTTGATCCTTACACTGAACTCCGGAGAGAACCTGTTCGTAAATACATCACGCCATCAGACTTTGACCAACTAAAGCAATTTCTCACCTTTGACAAACAAGTAAGGGACCTAATGGAGTAGGCTTACTCCTGTTTGAGTGTGGATATGTGTTCTTTGGAATTCCCGTAGGGCTAACAATATGCCAATTCTTAGATTTTTTACTTTTTAACTTCTTAAAGTTTTTGTGACATTCTATTAATTAGTGGATGCATAAATGTATGTTGCACATGCCACAGTCTATTGGAGAAGGACAGAGGACAACTTCTGGGCACTGGTTTTCTCTTTCTGTGGGTCCTGGGAATCAACCACAGGTTGTCAGGCTTGGCAGCAAGTTCCTTTTTCATCTAGCAGGCCCTCAGCTTCATTATTAGGGATACAAAGGGTCCTGTGGCTTTGTCTAGTGAACCCCCTGCATATGTTCACATGCTAAAGCAATTCCTGAGCCACATACATCTGCTTTTCTCTCTTTCCATTTCCAATGCCTCATTTCTTCTCCCCTGCTTTACTGGGGTCACTATTGCTGTGACAAAACACCACGGCCAAAAGCAACTTGGGGAGGAAAGGGTTTATTTGGCGGACACTTCCACATCCCTGCTCATCACTGAAGGAAGTCAGGACAGGAACCAAACAAGTCAGGAACCTGGAGGCAGGAGCTGATGCAGAGGCCTTAGAGGGGCACTGCTTACTGGCTTGCTCCTTGTGGCTTGCTCAACCTGCTTTCTTACAGACCCAGGACCGCCAGTCCTAGGGAGGCATTTCCCACAATGTGCTGGAGCCTCCAGAATCAATCACTGATTAAGAAAATGTCCTTCAGGCATGCCTACATCCAGACCTTTTTGAGACTTTTTGTTTGGTTGTTTGTTTGTTTGGGTTTTCAAGACAGGGTTTCTCTGTGTTGCTTTGGAGCCTGTCCTGGAACTCGCTCTGTAGACCAAGCTAGCTTTGAACTCACAGAGATCTGCCTGTCTCTGCCTCCCCAGTGCTGGGATTAAAGGCATGTGTCACCAACCAGCTGACATTTTCTCAATTGAGGTTCCCTCCTCTCTGATGACTCTAGCTTGTGTCAAGTTGACATAAAAACCAGCTGGCACACTATCCCCAAATGATTTAGTTAATCTCACAGAATTCTCTGGGCAGGCTTAGGTCAATGGTGGTGGTGGTGGTGTTAATGCTATTACATATTTGTTCTGATACTGGATAGCTATTAAAATAAAATAAAGTAGTTAATTAAAATAGTTATGGTCCATGATTTCCCAGGGATCCCGTCTCAAAGACATCCTTGCTGAATACTGCAGTAGTGTTAGAGAACAGAGTATTCTGAGTGTTTTCTGACTTGCCCAGCTTTTCAACCCCACCACCTGTGAGCTGCGGTGGACAAGTAGATTAGAATCTTCATTCACCGATAAAGGGAAAGAAATCAGTAACAGAAATTACTCTGAGATTAATTTCCTGAAAGACTAACTTCTGTTTCTTCAGAAAGTTCCACCCGGTGTCAGCATAGACATGCTTGAGATTTTTGTTTATTTTAGTTGGCTTGTTTTATTGAGATGGGGGTCTCACAATATAGCTCTGGCTGCCACAGAGCTTGCTGTGGGGGTGGAGATAATTCAAATTCACAGAAATTCTGTGAATTCTGCCTCCAGATTCTAGGATTAAGGGTACACACCATACCAGTCTCTCTCTCCCTTTCCCTCCCTCCCTCCCTCTCTGTCTCTCTCTCTGTCTCTCTGTCTCTCTCTGTCTCTGTGTGTGTGTGTGTGTGTCTCAAACTTGTTATGTACCCTGGGCTGGACTTGATAGGTTCATTAATGAGAATCCTTTCCACACCAGTTTTATTACACACCATTCACCATGTATCTTTGTCAATATGCACAAGTTACTTTTAGTGGCAACCCCCCCCCCATTCTTTTTACTCGGCTTCTCTTTCTCAGACTAATATTTAGAAGCTTTGTGCTAATCTTTTTGGCTGTTTGTGTGTAGTACATGATTTTGTATATTTTTCTGTCCTCGATGTTATTTTGATTTACTGTCTGAGAGTGTTTCAGCTAGTGTTTACCAGACTTAAGGTTCCGGCTTAGGATCTCAAGTCATCACTTTGGTCCCCTCAAAGGTTCTTCGATTCTATGCCATCTGGGATGACACGGATAGCTTGTTTGGGGAATGCCGACATTACATCATTCATTACTACCTCATGGATGATACAGTGGAGATTCGAGAGGTCCATGAACGGAACAACGGAAGAGATCCATTCCCGCTCCTCATGAACCGCCAGCGCATGCCCAAGATTTTGGTGGAGAATGCAAGTAAGTTTGACTGAGTGTGTCTTCTGTTACTTGGGAGGATTTGGGGTTCTAGGGAATTAGTAGTCAGTGTAATCACTCTTTTGTACTTGGTTCTGCCGGTGTTTTCTTGGGTCTTTAACAATGTTTTTTTTCCTGCAACTTTCCTCTATAATTTGCCTATTAGGCTAGGCATGCCTTCTGGACACTCTAGTAGGGATGACTTAACAGATTAAAATCAAATCAAATCAAAACAAAACAAAACATGCAACAGGTGAGTCATTTAAAGAAAGGTAGAGTGAAGCTTCTTAACTGACCCCATTTAGTGTTAGCTTTGCTTGTTTGTCTCAGTGGTACTGGGGCATAAACCTGGGGTCCTGTGCACGCCAGCAAGGCATTTTACCACTCTGCTACATTCCCTGCCCTCTTTGTATTTTATTTATTGCCACTCCCGCACAGCCAGAGTACCCAGCTTGGTGGAGGGTGTCAGGATTGAAACACTTAACAGACCACCATGAGAAGTGAAGAGGAAGCTGCTGCTGTTTGTTACAGAGAGTAACGGGCTTTTATCCCCAAGCCAGGGGACGGGCCAAGCGTAGGAGGAAATCATGCACCACCCACACCTGGGGTCAAGGCACGGGCACTGCACACCGGAAAGTTATGGGAACAACCGTGTTTGATCAACCTTGAAAGCACAGGAGTTCTACAGCTGGGTGGGGAGGAAGAGAGCTGTAAGGGACACGTACTTAAATTTCCCAACAATTTATTTATTTTTTTATTTTGAGACAGGGCCTCACTAAACTCCCCAAGCTGGCCTTCCTTCACCTCACTCTACAGCCCAGCTTGGCTTCCTTTCACGTCTACTTCCGGCCTCTCAAGTAGCTTGACACCAAGCCTGACAACTTGAATCTAGTTCCTGAGACCCACATGGCAGAAAAGGGAGCTAGCTGACTCCCACAGTTGTCCTTTGACCTCTACACATTGGTCATGGTATGCACTTCCCCCAGTAAATAAGTAAATACATGCAAACAAATGTTTTTTAAAAAAGACACTTGGCCAACAGTTAGATGAAAGAGTGTTCAAAATTAGTAATCTTCATGCACTGTCAGCTCAAAACTATAATAATAAGATATTACATCACTCTAATAAAAATGCCTTATGGGGGCGTTGGGGGGGATGGTTCAGCGGTTAAGAGAATTTGTTACTCTTTCAGAGGACCTGGGTTCAATTCCCTGGGCCCCTACCTCATGTCTAAGACTATGTCATACTCTCCTTACTCTCCTGGTTACTGTGGGGGGGGTGTGTGTGTGTGTGTGTGAGAGAGACAACCCATTATCTATGTTATCATTTACTGTCTATCTCAACAAACATGTTTTCTCCTCAAAGGTGGGAGTTGTTTTTGCACAATGACGTGTAGCTTCGGTAGTTAGCAGTGCATTTTGTACACAGGCAGACCCTAATTGTGGGATGTGTGGGAAACTGGGTGGTGAGTTAAAACCACGTGACTTAGATCCTTTCCAGAACCAACTCTCTTCTACGTCTTATATGGCCAAGTATTAATTCTGTGGATCTCGGAGGCTTTTGATGATAGTGCTAGCTGAATGCAAGAGAGAGAGAGAGAGAGAGAGTTTTATGAAAAGTGCCTAGCATATTATTTGTGTATTTTGTCAAAGATTGAAATATACAGCCTTCTATTCCTTTGACATATTGTTGGGTACTCAACCCTTAACAAGAGCCGGCTGTCAGGAATACCCAGTCCTTGTGTCAAGCTTTCTTCCCCTGTGCTTTCCTTCATCCCTCTGACTCCATCTCCAATTAGAGAACTTCCCTCAGTGTGTGCTGGAGATCTCTGACCAAGAGGTGCTGGAGTGGTACACTGCCAAGGACTTCATTGTGGGGAAGCCACTCACTATCCTCGGGAGGACCTTCTTCATTTATGACTGTGATCCGTTCACCCGACAGTACTACAGAGACAAGTTTGGCATGCCCGATTTGCCACGCATTGATGTGAGCAAGCAAGAGCCACCTCCTATAAAACAGGTAACGGAATAGAAGTACTAAGTGTGGCAAGAAAACGATGTAGAAACTCAAGGGAAAAAACCCAATAAAAATGGATGAGGTGATGCAAAGAGCCCATCACTGCATGAAAACACCCACGGTACAGTTATATTCAAAGAAATAGAGCAACTAAAATGAGGTTTTATAGTTTTCTCACTTTTAAAACTTTTCAGTACCTAGTGTTTTGTCTCTTTGAAAATGCAACTTTCATATACTGTTGATAGAAAAGCCAGGTAGAATCACCTTTCTGAAGTGCTGTTTGTGGTCATTTTAATTCTTTAGAATATTGTTTATCTTTGGTCTACCAAATATGTTTGGAGGACTATAGAGGAATGCATGTTTTATGCAGAATGAAGAATGATGTTGACAAAATACATCTGTCCACACTAATAGAAAATTGTAAGGCTCATAAAACATAAAGTAAGTCTATGCATATTAAGACTGGAAATTCCCATTGAATATTTTAGGTAAGTGTCTACATTTCTGTGCATAACCTCTGTTTATAAAGGTATTTTGTATATTAGTGTCCCACATCATCTTGTTTTTAGCTGTAGCTGTCAAATTGGGGATGTTGCACATGGTAGACAAATCCTCTATTGCATAGCAATATTTCTAGCTTTCTTAAATTACATAACTGAGAAAATATGGCATTATAACCCAAAATCATAATACTTACTTGTAGGTTAGTTTGGAATGTTTCTCAGTTAACTTCTGTGTGCTCATTGTTATGGAACATTTAAGTATCATCTAGTGTCCTGCCACTTTGCTTAAATTGGAAGGATTCCCTGGCACACAGCTTGCCAGTGAGGTGCAGTAGTAACTAACTCCCCGCTTTTGTTCATTTATAAATATCTTAATTTGCCCCTTCTTTCTCAAGGACAGCTTTGCTACTTATAGAATTCACCATTATCGTGCTTTATTTCCTTTTGCAACTTGGATATATTGGCCCATTGCCTTTTTGTCTCCAAAGTTACTAGGAAGAGATCTGTTAATAATCCTCCCGTGTGTGACAAGGCACATCCCCCCTTCTCGTTGGAACATTTGGTTGTTGTGTGTCTGACAATGTGAGCCCTTGAACTCATCTTCAGGCTCTTTGTGTGTATTTTTATTGATGTCTTTCATCTGGTTGAAGAAATATAAACTATTATTTATTCACACACACACACCCTCATTTCTCTTTCTCCTCTTTTTATGAGACATAATGCTTATATTGGTTCTTAAGAGCATCCCATGGATGCTCTAAACTCGAGTCGTTTTTCTCCAGTCTTTTCTCAGAGTTAGTAGTTTGTGTTAGCCTTCCTTCCTTCCTCCCTCTCTCCTTTCTTCCTTTCTTCTTACCCCTCCTTCATTCCCTCCTTCCCTCCTTCCCTCCCTCGCCCCCCCCCCCAGGTCTAGGGTCTCCCATAGCCCAAGCTGTCCTTGAACTAGCTATGTAGCCAAGGCTCTCCTAGAACTCCTGACCTTCTTGTCCTTAGCTCCAAGAGATGGGATTACAGAGGTGCACAGCCACACCTTCTGGGACCATTTATTCCCTTGTTTACAAAAGTCTCTTTGAATCCTAAGAGCGAAATTTTCATTTTCTTTTATTTCAATTTTCAGCTCTATAATTTCTTTAATTTACATATATAGTTTATTTTGTGCATGTGATCACAGCATGAAAATGGAGATAAGGGGACAATTTGATGGGAATTGTTTCTCTCTTTCTACCCTGTGGGTTGTGGGGATTGAAATCAGGTTGTCAGTGAGCACTTTTACTTACTATCTCATTGATCCTGTTTTAAATTTAATTTTGGTTTTATTTTAGATTTTCTGTGATTGATATTTCACTTCTTTATATTTAATTTTCTTGAGGGTTTCCACAAGAATTTCCCTTTAATTCTTTGAACATTAAAAAAAAATGTGTCTGTGTATGTGGTGTGTGTGTGTGTATGTAGGTGTTGTGTGTATCAATATGTAGTATGCATATGTATGTATGTGGTGTGTGTGTGGTGTGTGTGTGTGATATGTGTGTGTGTGTGTGTGTGTGTGTGTGTGTGCATGCCATGGTATGTAGGTGGAGGTCAGGGGAGAACTTTTGGGAGCTGGTTCTCTCCTTCCACAGTAGTTTTCAGGGTTCAAGTCCAGGTTGTGAGGCTTCTGTGGAAAGTACTCCCCTACACCGCCGCTCCCCCACAACCCTCACACCCTCTGCACTGCGGGCTGGCCCTCTTAGAGAATTTTTAAGGTAGTTGTTTTAAAGCCATTGTCAAGCATACCCTCCCTGGGATCTTTGCCAGGGATGATCTCTGTTGCCTACTTTCTTTCCTTTAATATGCCAATTTCCCAGTTCTTATATGTCCCGTGACTGTCAAGAATGGGATGTTCATTAATTTTCGAGACCAGGTCTAATTTTGTAACCCAGGTTGGCCATGAATTCGCAGTGTTGGGAAGTTGCTTTTGAGTAAGTGTCTCTGAGCTGACTTTGAAGGAGACACTCACGGTCACCTCTTGTGTAACGTTAACACTGATGACCTCACTTCTTTCTCCCATTTGTCTCCAGGAGTTACCTCCGTACAATGGCTATGGACTCATCGAAGACTCTGCTCAGAATTGTTTTGCTCTCATCCCCAAACCCCCCAGAAAAGACATCATTAAAATGCTGGTGAATGACAACAAGGTGCTTCGCTACCTGGCTGCGCTGGTGAGGCAAAATTTTATACGTTAGGATTTCCATCTTCTGATAGGTCCATCGGACAATTGTGCATTTTGTCTATAGGGTATAGAGTTATGGTGTCAGGGTCACGTGTTCACTAGTGCAAACCCTGTATAGTAGCCAGCCTTCAGAAATGTTAGGTGGAACTAAGTGTACTGCTTCTGAGCCAAGACTCAGCCCGGTCCTGACTCCCCATGAGCCATTCCTAGATCTGCAATCCCTCCCTTCTAAATTTCAAAATTTGTGTTCATTTTGTCTCTGTTAGTAATTAAACATTTCTATAACATATTTTAATCATTTGTGTATTGACTGACCCTTCCAGGGTACATTTCCTGAAGAACAGAAACTACATCTTACCAATTTTTAGTAGTATCTATGATATCTACATGCACATATTTTATATTAAGTATAAAAGGTAGAACTATTCTAGATTTTGAAGCTTTACAGTATTTTATGTGTATGAGTGTTTTGCCTACATGTATGTCTGTGACCTGTAGAGGGCAAAGAGCCTTGTGCACAGTTAAGCACTGGAGAAGGCAGGAAAGTTAAATATGCAGGCTTCCTGCAAAGGGAGGAGATGTTTAACTTGTCTTTCTCCTGAAATGCTGGGAATGAGTGGTTTACAACCTCCAGCCTCCACACATATCCCGCAGAATTTATGTTTACTTATCCCAGACCCTTTCCCACTAAAACTCTCGACATTACTTCTAAGCCATAAAACCCTCCTTGTGAGAGATGCCATTTGTACTTTACAATAACAGCCTGTGACTTCCCTGTTACCTTAGGGCCAGGCATTATGTTCACCTGAGCCATTCTCCCTACTCCTACCTCGAACATTGTTTCTAAGTCTCCAGAACCCATCTTAGAGATGAAGCCACAGGTACTCTTTTAGGAACTTCAATGTGAGCATGTCTTAAGATTTTCTGTACTCACGGGGCTAAGTTAATGGGTATCAGAAAACTTTTCCCCCCAAAATTGTGCCGTGCTTAAATATGGCTAAAATAAACGAACTGGTATCAAACACTCGAAAATTTGGCCCACCGCCAATACCTACGTCAGGCTGAGTAGAGATTCATTCATATCTTTTTGTGGACCATTTCTCGGCCATCCAGAAGGCCTACAGAGACCCCCTCACCCCACAATGCACCACCTGTGTGCCTGGTGCCCAAGAGGCCAGAAGTGGGTGTCAGATCCTTGGAATTACAGACGGTTGTGGAGGTTGTAAGCTACCATGTGGGTGCTGGGAATTGAACCCAGGTTCTCTGGAAAAATGGCCAGTGCTGTGAACCACTGAGCCATCTCTCCAGCTTTCCAGACACTGCTCTTGATATGTAGCACATGATTTAAAAGCATGAAGTCTAGAAACAGATGTAAGCTCAAAATTTTAAACTTTGTAAAACTCAAGCTTTAAAAAGATCTGTTTATTATATTTATATTTAAGGAAATTCAGGTTGGTTTCATTTTGGGGTGCCTGGAAAGATCATGAACCCTGGTATTCTCTTTCCACCGTCTTTCTAGGAATCCCCTATCCCAGAAGACAAAGACCGTCGATTTGTCTTTTCTTATTTTCTTGCCACTGATATGATCAGTATCTTTGAGCCTCCGGTTCGAAATTCTGGGATCATCGGGGGCAAATTCCTGGGCAGGACTAAAGTTGTTAAACCATTCTCTCCGGTTGACAACCCTGTCTACTACGGACCAGGTGACTTCTTCATCGGTGCTGTGATTGAGGGTAAGCCTGAACATGGCTCGGAGTTTCCCGTTGGCTTGGAAGATAGACTCTTCACAGCTGTGACTCCATGCATTCTTCAGTCTTATAAGGAGCAGCCGGGCTGTGTTCTGACTGAGATGGCGCTCATATGACCATAGTCACACATCCTTTTCTGAATCTCCTTGCTTATCGGTTAAACTGTACATTGACTGACTTGTGGATCCTGTGTTGTTGTATGTATTTTCTCCATTTGTTAGACGTTAACATGAGGAACCTGAGGAAACCACTGATTATCAACGTATTCAGCTGTTCAAAACTCACTAGTCTGGCCAGGCAGTGGGAGCACATACCTTTAATCCCAGCTCTTAGGAGGCAGAGGCAGGTGGACTTCTATGAGTTCAAGGCCAGCCTGGTCTAGATACTGAGGTCTAGGACAGCCAGGACTCGGTAGAGAGGTCTTGTCTCAAAAACAAACAAACAACAAAGCAAATCAAGTCACTAGTCAGGCACAAATGGTTACCTGTGGATTTAATGCTAGGTTAACATTACTTTGCTCCTGACCCCGTGAAAGAAGCAAAGCTGAACTAAGTGTAATGCTATTCTCTCCCCAGTGTTTGGCCATCGATTCATCATCCTTGATACAGATGAATACGTCTTAAAATACATGGAGAGCAACGCTTCCCAGTATTCACCAGAAGCCCTCGCCTCTATCCAGAACCGCATCCAAAAGCAGGATGTTCCCGCACCAGAATCAGAAAGGTACCTTAGACTGACTGCCCAGGGGCAGGATTTGGCACATGCAAGCTACTCAGAAAGCATGTCCATTCTGTGTGTGTGTTATATGTGCACATGTGTGCATAGGTACACATGTGTGTTAACTCATCTGCAGAGAACATTAAGCTTCCTGTTCCGTCACGATACACCTTATTTCTTTGAGTCAGAGCCTCTCCCTAAGCCTGGATCTTGGCCAGCAACCCAAGGATTTCCCTTGTCTCTGCTTCCTACAGCACTGGGGTTGAGGGTGAAGTCACCCCCAGGGTTTTTGTTTTGTTTTTACACAGATGCTGGGACCTGAGTTCCTCATACCTATGCAAGAATTCTGACCCATCAAAGCCATCACTGCAGGCTGCTAGAAAGTAACTCCCGGCTCCTCCCCTTGTTTTTCTTTTTCTTTGTTTTTTTTCGAGACAGGGTTTCTCTGTGTAGCTTTGGAACCTGTCCTGGAACTCACTCTGTAGTCCAGGCCAGCCTTGAACTCACAGAGATCCATCCGCCTGCCTCTGCCTCCTGAGTGCTGGGAATAAAGACCTGTGCCGCCAACTCCTGGTTAAAAAGTAATTCTTGTTGAAATAAACGCATAATGATGTTTTAGAATTTTAACTCTCCTTTACCAGGTTGGAGTTGTCAGGAAGATGTAGACAGTTACTTGGGCTCAACATAGTAACTGCCATCTTAGAAGTTTTTCCACTTTTTTTTTTCCCTTGTAGCAAATAATGAATGAATGTCTGTCGTATCTGCTTCAGATGATATCACTAGTCCCATGAGTCTTAAAAAATAGATAAGAAATTGCTGTCTTTCTTGACTCACCTGAGCAGGAATTGGCAGGGAGTAATTCAAGTAAATCATACAGTACAACCAGTGATAAATACCATATAAAAATAAAGGAAATGTAGGTGGCAAGTGTTTATGGAGGTTGGCAGTGGTGTGCACTTGCTTGGCAGAGGGGAGACACCTTAGAGGGCCATACCGAGCCACTCCTGAAGGGAGTTCTCTGGGTAGCTGTGTAGTTGTGGAAGGGTTGGGTACCTTCCAGGTAGCATACTCCAGGTAGCATGCTCAAATAACTGGCAAGAAATAGGCCAGTGAAGAGTGGCTGAAATGAGTGAGTGAGGTGAGGAGGGGTAAGGGCTAAAATTAGAAAATTAATGAGAAAGAAACCTGAAAGTTCACAAGGGGGTAGATTGCGTACGATTCACCGGGTATTTGGGAAGATACCAACTTTCTCCGAGTGAAGCAGAGATCCATTTGGGGGTTTCTGGGTAGAGGAGTCGCACATATGCTCTTAAAGGACCAGCCTACTGCTGCACTGGTGCTCCAATCTGAGCCATGTGTGGCGGTGCAACCCTAATTCTAGCACTTGGGAGGTACAGGAAGAAGGGTTAAGGGTTTCAAGGCCAACCTCGGCCACATGCGGAGTTTGAGGCCAGCGTGAGCTATGTGTAGTTGAGTGGGAGTGGGAAGGAAGAGAGACTGTGCATGAGGTACATGAGAGAGAGAGAGAGAGAGAGAGAGAGAGGTCAGGAGGGAGATAAGAAACAGTACTGTAAGAGATGGCAGGGCATGCTGGGTGTTGGTGGCGCACGCCTTTAATCCCAGTACTCGAGAGGCAGAGGCAGGTGGATCTCTGTGAGTTTGAGACCAGCCTGGTCTACAGAGTGAGTTCCAGGACAACTTCCAAGACAGAGAGACCCTGTCTTGAATCCCCCCACCCCACCCCCCAAAAAAAGCAATGGCAGGGCATGAAGGTCAGAGAAGTGAAGAAGTGATCTAATTGGCTGAGCCAATGTAGCGAAAGGTAAGTTACACAGGGGATGTGAGAGAATTAAGAGCTAGAGAAGATTCTAAGATTGGAGCTTGAGCACTAGGAAGGACTTACCGACAGCTGAGATGGGGACCATGGGGACTGTGGGTAAAGGAGGTTGTTAGCAGAGTGTGGTAAGGATTTGCATTTGGGATGTATTTTATATTTAGGGGACAAAATAGAACAAGGCGTGTACTAGCATCATGCAAGGAACTGAGGACTTCAGTGAGGACTCCCAGCAGAGTTAGACCGGTAGGAAAGCTCAAGAGAGATAGATGTGAGAGGATGGAAAGCACTCAACATGAGCCGAAGAAATATCTTCACACGTCAGCAGCAGCAAGCCGAGAATGTACAGGAAGTGGCGCCAAGACCAGAAACATTCCATGTGCACCCCCGGTGATGTGCCTCCTCCAGCAAGGTCCCACCTCACAAAGGTTCCACAACAGCCCCAAACAGTGCCACTAACTGGGGATTAGTGATTGAGTACTCGAGCCTATGGGGGACTGTGTTAGTCAGGGCTGGCTACAGGAACGAGAGCTTATAGAATGAATATACAGAGAGAATGACGGGCTGTTAGCAGCTAGTCCAACAAAGGCTGTCTACCGACAGAAGATCCAAGAATCCAGCAGTTATTCAGTGCACAGGGCTGATGTCTCAGCTAATCTTCAGCACACACCAAAAATCCCAAAGAACTAGGGATATTTTGTAATGCCGGTGAAATAATGGACTTGAGACCAAGGTCAAGCAGGCAAAGAGAAAAGCTTCCTTCATGCCCTTCATATAGGATGCAAGGCAGAAGGTGTGGCCCAGATTAAAGGTGGATCTTCCCACCTTAAAAAATTTAATTAAAAAAAAAAAATCCCTCACAGGTGTACCCAGCTGCTTGGGTTTTAGTTAATTGCAAATGTAATCAGGTTGACAACCAAGATCAGCCATCACAGGAACATTTTTCATTCAAACCATAACAGAATCATTAAGAGCCTGTAATCTTTTCAAATTTGGCATATTAGATAGTATATGTGAAAATGTAAAAATACTTCTTTTTAGAATATATCAACAAAGGTAACTTTTTAAGATAGGGTTGCATGTATTCCCAACTAGCCTTGAAATCGATATGTAGCTGAGGCTGACCTAGAACTATGATCCTCTTGCCTCTGCCTCCCACATGCTGGGATCACAGGCGCGTGCACCCCATTCCTGGCTTTGTATGATGCTGGGGATTAAATTCAGGGCCTCACACATGCTAGTAAAGACGCGTGTACCCCATTCCTGGCTTTGTATGATGCTGGGGATTAAATCCAGGGCCTCACACATGCTAGTAAAGACACTAAACCGCAAAGAACTGAACCACAAAACGAAGACAGTCTCTGTGGAAAATAAATGTGTTTTCTGTTTTTCCAAACAAAAACTGTAGGGAAGAATTATAGTTTAACTTTTTTGAGAATACCTTTAATATCTGGTTTTAAGAGGAGACAGCCACATTCTTACATTTTAAAATTCAGTCCAGAAAAAAAAAAATCATTTTGTAATATTTGGAAAATTCTTGCATGCTTGTGGGGAAAGAGGAGTTAAAAGAAAAACAATAGCAGTGTTGTTATTTTTCACCTTGTAGAACCTTACAGGGGCCTTGGGAAACCCCAGCAGTCCAACATTATTCTTGGAAACATTGGTCTTGGTGACATGAAGTCAGAACCCAAGGGGACAGGCACAGATAGACAGAAATATGTGGTTGGCAAGCCTTTCTACTTGTCTGTTAGTGCGAAATAGAGTCGGAACTGGGATTTTTGAGATGTCTTAATTTATTGAGTGTATAGGACACATATTAAAGATGAGCACCAAATCAAAATATCGTTTTCTGTTACTGCTGCAGCAGGAAAAAAAAAAAAATATGACCAATTGTAATCTATAGTCACGATCAATTGAAAAGTATACCTCAATTCCAGAGATGTTAAATGTGGGGAAGGATTTGCTTTTGTGTTGGAGGAGCAGGTGGTGCGATTAGGCATGGTCTGCTGTGCAGCCTGGGGAGCTCTCTTCTGTGTCCTCTGTTCAGGGGGATCAGAATCTCCTGCTGATGGAAAGAATTTCTAGGCGGGTCAGTATGAAGCAAAGTTGAGCTTTGTTTATGAAAAGAGAGATTTTTTATAGAGATTTAAGCAAAGGCATAGAGGAGGGACAGAAAGAGGGAGGAAGGAGAGCAAGCGTACTGGGAGGAGGGAGGGGGAGGGAGGGGGAGGGAGGGTAGAGTAAGGGGAAGGAGAGGTGGAGAGGGAGTAAAGGGAGGGAGAGAATGGGGGATAGCAGAGAAGTTTGGAAAAAAAAAAAAAAAGACTGTTATACATACCCTGGGCAGGGCCCAGGGCTCTGAGGGGAGAGTCATGTAAGTATATTAATAATAGTGCATGCCTATGACCTTGGTGGCTAATGAAAACATTACTCGAAGACTAAGTAGAACTATTTGGACATAATTATTTTCTCCAAGGAACTCTTGGCCAGGCTTGAGGACACATGTCTGTGGTCTAGCTGCTCAGAGCTTCAAGGCACGCGCCTGGCAGACTTAGTGAAACCTGGTCTCAAAAACAAAGTTCGATGAGACAGAGGATGTAGCTGAGAGGTAGAGCCCTCGTCTAGCCTGTGTGCTGTCTGATGTTTACTTTCCAGCACTGAGAAATAAACAGATAAATAAACAGATCTCTTCCCAATTAACGGAGGTTATCAAGTGGCTTATGCGATGCAACCTAAATGTTTAAAGAAAGCAGTTCTGACTAAACCACAGGCCCAGGAAGGTCAAAGGGATTCTTACTATACCGTAGGTCACATGGAGCCAAGGCACGTGTCTTGATTTGAAACCTGTTCATTATTCTGTTTGTGAGATTTTTCTCACAAATGGGACTCCAAGTTGTTAGCAGGTGACTTGATGCCATTCAGTGAGAGGCTTACCCAGGTGCCCGAGGGTGAGGGTTTAGCCCTCTCTTCTCCCTTTAACTTCCCCATCTTTCCACCCTGGTTTGTGAGAACTTAAGTCACGTGTAGGAAAGTGGAAGGCACTAAGGGCCCACTTGGTATTCATGGCCATTATTGTTCAATTCAACTGTGTCTCTAAAGGGTCCCCTTCTATTCTCCCGTGTCTGTGCAAATACCAGCACACCCCGGGAGCGTTTTGCTTAAGCATGCTACTAGCAAATTCTTATTTTCTATTAGGCGATGAGAGAAAGTACATTAGGGGCTCTATACCAATAAAAGCAAGGGGAAAGCAGATTTTGTATCAAGAAGGCCGTTGCTATCCTTGCTTTCATCCTTATTTCTCCCAGTTGTTCTCTGTGAGGGGAAATGCTTGATGATGACATAAATCCGGGGTCACATTCCTGTGTCTTCAAGCCCTTCCAGTTTCGGCCCTTTACCTATCCTAATCTATAACCAACCCTACATATCCTTCATTCAACTAATAATCGTAAGGCGTTCCTGAGAATCGGCAGGCCTGCGTATTTTCTTTTGTTTCGTTCCAGACAGGGTTTCTCTGTGTAGCCCCGACTGTCCTGGAACTCACTCTGTAGACCAGGCTGGCCTTGAACTCACAGAGAGCCACTCGCCTCTATGCCCAGATCTGGGATTTAAAAAGGTGCGCCACCACCACCCAGCCTAGGTCTGCGTATTTTTTTATGGCCGATAACAATTATAAGCAGATGGGTTTTGGAGCAGCTAGCCATTGTTTTCCCTGGACCAGAAAGTTAGCATAGCATACAGGACATTAACTGAACACTGACTGAAGTTCTTTGGGAAGTCTGGGCTCTCTTTTGCTATTAAAAAAATTATTTTATGTGTATGTGTGTTTTGCCTGCATATGTGTGTGTATGTGTGTGTGTGTGTGTGTGTGTCTGTGTCTGTGTCTGTGTACCATGTATGTGCCTGGTACCCACAGAGCCTAGAATAAGGCATGGAATATCCTAGAAATAGAGTCATAAATGATTGTAAGTCATTATCTGGGGGCTGAGGACTGAACCTTGAGCCACTGAAAGAACAGTCAATGTCTTAAACCACAGAGTCCTCTCTCCAGGCCTTTCTTTTTAGTTCTGTAAACTCAGACTTGAGGGTTAAAAGACATGTGTGTGGCTCATAAGCCCTCTCTGAACACAAGATCTGTCTCTATGGTCATCAGGAGCATGCATCTGTATAGAGATCGCATCCCCCTTCCTTTAGCGTATTCATTTGTGCCCTTCAGCCTCAGGGGGACCCCTTTCCATGGAGAGACTGGTAGCAGAGCATTGGAAAGAGGGATGTCTACCCCTTCACAACATGACACAGTCTAAACTCCCACAGATGGCCTTTTACAAAACTCGCTGAGGATTGAAGAGGGCGTATCAAAACTGAGAGATTCCCATCTGCATAGTGACAGGCATAACTTTTAAGCATTTGGGCTTGGATGAAGTCATGTTAGTCTGCAATAGTAGAGGCCAACATGATTCCCACAAATAGCAAGTTGGGAATGGCAGTATATGAGACCTGGTTCTTTGTGGTAAAATGATTTAACTGTTGGCAAGAAGGGACACAGTTCAAACACTGTCCCAAATCAGCCCTTCTCATGTGGAGGTCAGCCACCAGCAGCTGTCAGTCAACTGTTTGTCAAAACTGGCTTTCATTATTATTATTATTTTATACACTTTCCAGATTTTACCAAAGAAGAGCTTTGGCCACTGAGATAAGATTGGTCAAGAATGAGTATATGTATATATATATATATATATATATATATATATATATATATATATATATATCCAATCATTTCCTTCTTTTTCTTTACAGCAAGCAAGCTACAGAGGAACCCACTGCACAGAACCTGGAGGAACCCAATGCACAGAACCTGGAGGAACCCAAGGCACAGAACCTAGAGGAACCCAAGGCACAGGACCTGGAGATTCTGATAGATACAATCCAGATGCACCTGAAAGACCATTCCTGCAAAGACAACCTCCGAGAAGCATTTCAAATATATGACAAGGAGGATTCAGGATATGTGGACAAAGAGACATTCTTTAAAGTCTGTGACACTCTTAACGTCCCAGTCGATGACTCTTTGATTAAAGAGGTCAGTATGAATTGTGGCTTGGGTTGACTGCTGGGACAAAGCACTGGTCATTCCTTCCTAAGGAGTTACAAGAATCAGATCTCCCGTTCTGTCCTGAGGACAGGATTTCCCACACCATAGCATCAACTTCCTTTCCATATTGTTGCTGCAAGTGTCTCTTAAGATGGGGCTGGGAACAGACAGCGAAGTTGCTAGTTTAGCATGTTAGGGATGGAGGGTAATAGAGGTGATCCTGAAGTACCAGCTGCCAAGAAGGGGCCTGAAGCTGAGTTAATGTACAGGATGTTTGCAGGTGTTGAGATCTTTCAAAGCCAGCCCATCAGCAGGACTAGAATGGAAGCTGATAAGACCACTGCCTTAGGCAGCAGTGTCTGTAAGGTAACAGGGCTCGCTCACTGCAAATGGGGAGATGGCATGGAAGTGTTCCTCCTAGAATTTTCATGATTGTTATATAAGGCTTTCATTTCTTTTACTCATTGCAAATCCCGATAGCCAGGACCCCCTTGGAATTCATAACAAAATTTCCCCTGCCCTGGCCAGGACTCTAGCTTAATATCAAGGCATGCTCATTGATTAAGAATGTGGAGGCTTTCTTTATTGACCTCCTTGAAGATTTTCAAGCAAGAGGGAATGTTTGGAAATTAAGGTTCATTTAGGAAATGGCTCTGTTTAAGTAACTACGTTAGGATGGAGGATTTTGCTTGGTCTTTTTTAAAGACAGAATGTGGACAAGGGGTATGAAAGTTCAGATAGGAGGGTACTTGTTCATGTGGGCTAAATACCTACCCTTTAGCTCTAGAAGTCTTTGATTGACAGGATGGCTAATTCACTTTTTATTTTCTAGTCATTCACACTGTGTGACATGAGGGAGGAACTGAGAAGTGGGGCTGGGTGAGGCAGATCTGCACACTGTACAAACAACTGCGGCCCATCACTGCTACCCATCACTGTTGAGTCCAGGGGGCATCTGAAGCAGTGATATAACTAGATCGTTCTACTTGGATACAACAGCAGGAGCCTGATATTTAGGGTGTTTAGTTCTTGGGAGGGGGCCATATTTATTTTTGAATATAGCAATACAAGTATTTCGAAGCTGGGTCTGCTGGTACATGCTTGTATTCTCAACACTTGGGATGCAGAAGCAGGAGGATCATGAGTTTAAAGCCAGTGGAAGCCACAAGATAAAGGAAAAAGCAAAGCACTGTGATAGCAACACCCTTATAAATAGGGATATTACTGCTGTGGCTTCACTATGTATAATACGGGCTTAATGTCTGACCTACCTTCCAGGATCACAGGGTTACTGCAGTCAACTGAGGATAAAAAGGGTGAACTTTGTTTGGGTTGGCAAAAGCTGGGGCTCGTTATTTGTAAGTGCCCTCTGCAGTCAAGCTGTAAGAAGAGCAATGGAAGAGAATTCCTGACTGCCAATCAAAGCCTCACCTCTCCTCTTTGTTCCCTTGCAGTTAATCAGGATGTGCACCCACGGAGGAGGCAAGATTAACTACTATAACTTCGTTCGAGCTTTCTCAAACTGACCTGAATGGCAGGATGTGATATACATTTTTTGACATTGAGGAACCTAATTTGTGTTTAGCGTACAAGTATGTACATCACTCCTGGAGCTGTATTTCTACTTTACTATTACGAAAGCCTAAAGTAAATTGATTTTCAAAGAGTGGAAGACCAGTGCCTTATTTGGATTGGCAGAGGTAGCATGATAGTTTTCCCTTATGGGGCCCAGGAGTTCTAGAATTTGTCAAACAGTATCCTGAATGTGTCTGTAATCGTGGGAGGGTGAGCTAAACAGTTGAATTGGTAGACAAGTAAAACAGACCTCAAAGTAAGGAGGCCCCCAGCAGTAATTTGAAAGCCGGAATAGAAACACAAACTGACCCACCCCTGGGGAAGAGAATTCCCCCTGGCCCTCGGATGCAAACGTGCTGTGTCCTGAGCATGCAGCCAACAGACTGGAGCTGGGCCCTCAGCTGTTTTCAGCATGCAGACCCAGCCCACACAAAGCACACACACTCACCCATACCACACCAAGGCACACTCCAGATGTAGAAGGATGAAGAACAGACAGGATGACAGACTCCTCTGGAAACGTTTGGGATGTTGGAAATAAAGTTCACAGCAGCACAGTTGCTGTTAGCCAAGGGCCACTCTACCCATCTGTCTGCCTCCCTCAATATTGTAGGGAGATATGCTATATGCTTTTCAGTGTGTAATTCTAAACCCATTAGTAGGATAAAAACTGGGAGTCTGAGTTCTGGTACAGCAGTAGAGTTCTTTCCTAGTAGGCACAAGATCCAATACCATCACAAATGAAGTTTTTGAAAAAAATGGAATAGTGTGGTATACATAGTATGCCCATTTTCATAAAATCTGTGCATTTACTGGGCTATAATGTAAAGGATTCCTTTTAGATAGCTTCACCTAGAATGGGGGCAGGGTTAGATTAGCAGCACTTTCTGGCTCTCCGCTGAGCTTTGACAGCCAGGGGTGCTCTTCTTGAAGACAGCCATGCTAGATTTTCGATAGCCACCCAAAGCATGCAGTGGTGAAGATGAAGTTATACAGGACCAGAATGCCCAGATCCTCTCAAAACTGCCAAGGGGCCTCTCTAGTTTTGCCTTTTGCAAGGTGTTAAGACACATCTAACTACCTTATTCAAGAGGTTCCTTTCAGTTCTAGGCTATCTCAGGAAGAAATCATGTTTTGTTTCTTCCTATCGTGTCTGACTGTTGGGAGTGTTATTTTTAACTACTCTAGAAAATCTACTTCAGTCTAAATTAGCCAAGCTTTATCCTGTGCGCTCCATCCAGTCCTGTCCCAGGCCTGGAAGCCTTTGGTACAGTATGTGTTAGACAAGCGCAGTCCTTCATCTCGCTGCCGTATCCCATTTCTCACCTATGGAATATGGAAGATGGGTTAAAAAAAGTAGGCCCAGAAAGCTGGAGAAGTAACATATTACCTCATCGGTTAGTAATATTCATAGCCAATGCTGGCTAAGTGGTGTGTGCCAAAGACTGGCAGTTTTCTTGCGGGAGCTCTTAGGTAATTTTCCAAGAAATCCTGTGCATGGTCTCGGTCCCCAACTGCTCAACTGTAAAGGCATGTTCCCTAAGCTCCATGCCTTCCTCAGAAGGGTCTCTTGGCAGGGGCCATCTCAGGTTGATATGCCCCTCGACGGTAGGCTCTGTCTTTTGGGAGGTCAATTCTTTCCTTTAGACTTATTTTACGAATCAGACACCCCAAATATGCTTTCTGGATTCCAGAGGAGATGGCTCAGTGGGTAAAAGTGCTAGGTATGAAATTCTGATGGCCTGAGTTCAAATCCCTGGAACCTGTGCATCTGTAACCCCAGCACTGCTTCAGTGGGATGAGGAGCAGAGAAAGGAGAGTCCCCAGGAAGCTCACAGTCCAGCTAACCCAGAGTGCCCCATGCAATGGCAATTGGGATACTCCACTCAAAGTAGAAGGACCGACTTGATCACAATTGTCCTCTGCTCTCCATGTGCGCATCAGAGCATGCGTCCACACACCCAAATGTGTACGTATATACTAGGTAGCTTTTAAAAGTTTAAACTTAAGCAAGTTGAGTGGCAGTACCCCAGCATTCTGAAAGGAGCCTGGGAAACCCCCTACTTTGTAGCCATTCTCAGCCAACCCTGCCTTCCACTGAAGAGGAAAGCCCACAGAAGCTATGGCCGGCTCCTTGGCGACCTTTCACAGGTGTATACAGCTGGTAGCATGTGAAAACACTTCATCTTTCCCCCGCTGGGTTTGGGCTTTTGCAGAAATAGAGGTCTTCTCTTTTAGATCTTTTCCCACCCCTTTGAAGCTGAAGCACTCACACCCTTCTGCTCTATTGCTCTATTGCTGTGAAGAGACGCCATGATCACAGCAACCTTTACACAAAGAAAGCATTTAATTGGGGCTGGCTTACGGTTTCTGAGGTTTAGTTGTCATCACGGAGGGGAAAAGGTCAACACACAGGCAGACCTGGTAAGAGGAGCTGAGAGGTCTAGCTCTGGATGACAGGCAACAGGAAAGGAGAAGAGTTAGCCTCTGGGCTTGACTGAGCCCACGGCCAATGACACGCTTCTTCCAACAAGGCCACACCCACTGCAACAAGGCCACACCTCCTTATCTCTCTCAAGTAACACCACTCCCTAATGACCACGCATTCAAATACAGGAGTCTATGGGAGTCATTCCTATTCACACCACTATAACCTCCGTTCTCAGTTCTGAACACCTATTATTTCCAATAGATACCATACAGACAGTTCTTTCTATTCGCTTAACCACCAGCAGGGACAGCACCCTGGTAGCCACAGCCATCAGATTTAGCTGAAGACTGGTAAGGGTAGTTCATTGCTTCAGAACAGAAAAAAAGCTGCCTTGTGTGTGAAGACTGACTGTTGGTGAGTCACTGTTCAGAGCAGGGTACATGCTCCAATTACACCACAAGGGGGCCTTGAACATTTTGTTGTAATTAAGGAGATTCACTTTGTGTCTACAAAGTTTCAGTACATTCAGGACAAAGGGGTGAAGATTTCTCTAAACATTGTTTCCAAGAGCTCCTGGGTATGTGATTTTTTAATATCCTGTTGGCACACAAGCACAAGCATGTTTATTAAGATCAATCTAGCCAGGTATGGTTGTGCAGGCCTGCAATCACAGCACTTGGGCAGGACTGGAGTGGCTGGCTTCTTGCCTTGCCAGGGAACTCGTGGTGGCCACACCCTTTGGGAGTGGTTTCAGAACATCAGAAGAGCAGAGACTTCATCTTCTGGAGCAGGAGGGCCACAGTGACTATTTACTCTTATCTGAGTAAGTGCTTTCATAATAAATTCCTATTTACTATCTATCTTAGGTCTGGTGGACTCATTTAAACCCCGCCTTCAGGGGACTGCTTACATCCAAGGCCAATCTTAGTCTGCAATGCAGTTGAGACAAGCCAGACCTATATTGCAAGACCCTGTCTCAAAAACAAAAAGCAACCAATTTAAAAGGGCATGGTGGCACATATCTGTGATCCAAGCTCTTGGGTGGCAGAGGCTGAATTGCTAGAAAATCAGCAACAGAACAGCCAGAACTATGTAGAAACACCCTGTCTCAAAAACAAACTCTAGTTTTATTTGTACCATGAACTTAACACTGTTTCCAGTCACCATATCCTGAGAAACAAACCCCGCAGGACCCAGGTGAGAAATGGGCTAAGCTAACTCAGCCCACTGCTGGAGATCACCCAGCATGCCATGCAGAGCAAGACGAAACCATCTGCACCAAATCTTGGTGTCATCAGCACCACTCAGTTTTACCTCAACTAAGTCTCTGGGTGATGTTTACCTCCTGTGGGTTTCCCTTGGCTAACCACCACTTGCAATTGCACTCATCCCCTGAGCACGCCCCCCAGGATGGTTCTGGAAAATGCAGCCGACAGCTGCATGCAATAGCAGCCTATTTCTGTGACACCAGCCACCCTGTTGCCACCATTTTTACTGAGCCGGGGCTGCATTCATAGAGGCCAAGACCCACATCCCCTCCAAGCTGAATGACTTCTCAGGAGAGGGGTCAAAGTATGGAGCACTTCCTTGGGTGGGTGGGTGGGGGCATCTAGCTTACAAAACCTGTTAAGAAATCCCCTTTTCTACTTCACTGTTATAGACGAAAACAATGCATACTAACCCAAATATTACACAGTGAAAAGCTAAAGTTGACACCGATTCACTTTTCAAAGACCAAATGGAAGAGTCAAGACTAAGACATCTCACCACATAAAAACACGTCAGTGAGTTCTCCCAGAGACCGTTATGACCAATGATTCTACGCCTTTTATTCAGGTATTTCAGAAAAATATTTGATCACTTGTTTCAAAATGTACATGTTTTTTTTTTTTTTTTTTAAAAAAATCCATACAAAACTGTAGCTTGTTTCCAAAACCAGACGGAAACAGTGGAACAAGGACTTTGAAAAGATTTCACCAAGGTAAAAAGACGCCCCTCCCTCCCAGCCCTTCTACATGAAAGCACAAATACGCAGGCACACATTTTTCTTGAGTTCCGTGTTCAATTTGGTCCGTAACATGAACAGGCTAACTAAAGTGGAAGAACAGTCAATGTGTCCACGTTTGCAATTATGAGTTGCGCAGGGGACCAGCTCCTCCGCTTTCCTTTGGGTGCTCGTCAAACGGAGTAACTGGAAAGTGAGGTTGCATCGCTTGCGAATCTGGACCCAAGAGAAGGACAGCACTCACTGTCTCAGCCAGGTCCTGTGAGGGGACAGGGCTCACCACCGTGGCGGATTCTTGGGAAAATCTCTATCCTCCCCACAGGAACTAGAAACTCTGGAATGCCTTGGTGGTGACAGTGATGCCGGCCACTCCAGAGCAGGCCTTATTCCCAGACATTGATAGTGTCACGGTCTGAGGATTTTTTTTTTTTCTTTTCAACACATTTTTAATTTTTTTTTTTTAAAACAATTTAAGAATGTCTAAGACAATACTACACATTCTGTGAGATTGCCACAGAGACCCACCCAGGGCCAGGAGAATGACATTAACAAAGGGAAGGACTG